AATACTACTCAAAAACATAGATTTCAGCGATAAAAAGTAGTATAAATTCTAGTTTTACTTAGAAATAACAATAGTATCACAAAAACAAATGAAGGTGTTTCTTACCAGGGCGTCTACACAGGGAATTCTTTAGTTTCGTTGCGGCGTTCAAACCTGTTGTATACATAACTGGAATGCATGATTGGACCATTCTGGTAATTTGTCAGCTTGCCTCGGATCGTCTCGTTGCTATTACTTTCAAAAACATCGAATTGCTATTCTGAAGCTTTCAAAGCCTCAAACGTACGGTGTTCGAACTCGAACTGAACTCTGCAGTAATAATGCAGTATATGCAAACACGTGGCATACGGAAAGCCACGGCTCCTCAATAAACAAGTTTGAGCAAGATTTCGCTCAGTTGTCATGCGTACTTTTCCCGCCAGTGCTTTGTTCACTCGCTGTTCACGTGATGAATGAACACATGGCACATACATGGCAAATAAGACAGTCACGTGCTGTTCTCGTGATATGAATGCGCACGCCACTTTTTGCTGCACACATTTTATATACGAGTTATTTGGTCTAGTATATTTTCGGCAGTAGCAGTATATGAATTTTGTTACAACATGTGCGAGTCGATTTTGCTATGAAATCCTAGGTGCTATCCTTTAATCGTATTTATTTTTTAGCAGTTTTAAAATAAGGTTATATCATTCAGTCTATACAACGCACTTGTGACCAAGATAAACCACCAAAAACCAAAACCGGTTTTAGCCGGTAATTCCGGATCCGCATGTGATAAGCTTTAGTTTGTTCTCCTAAGCTTAAACTCGCGGCACTAAGCGGCGACTAAAATTTTGCTGGCTTTCTTTACCGGCTGATCATGAAAGGTTTCAAAAGTCCAACATAAAGAGAAAATAGGAGATCTTTACTGAACTGGTTTCTTCAAACGCCGCCGTTCTGACGAACCGGCAAAGTTAAAAAAAACGGTTTTTACCGGTATTTTGTGGTACCTTAAGATCTCGCACAAACTAAAACAGTAGAAAGCCGGTATTAAAGTTTAGAAATGAAAGGGTTTAACTATATTTCAGCAATACATTTAGGAAAGGTTTCTATAAATTATTTTGTAATAGTTTTTATCGGATATAAATCTTATGTTATGCCTGTATTTTATTGCAAACAACGGTTTGAACTTTGAAAAGGTGATTCATAAGTAAAGTATGTCATCATTATTATCATTACAGTTACCTGTGAATGAGTATAGACGGCGTACAATACAAGTCAACGTAGAAAGCCTCCCACATGCTTCGAGTGCAGTCAAGTATGATTTCAGGGAAAGTCCCTCTTCCCATGATGCTTTCGTACTTTCTCATCAATTAAAAAATTTTTACTTCTAGAATGATCTAGAATGTTCTTTGCCGAGGCATTCGCTTCTCTTACAATACTGCCACTCAATAGAGCCGGCATTATAAAGTCAACAGTATCACTTAACTCCTTGTATAAAACCTTTTCTATCATCTGTAGATTTCCCCCGGGGGCCCCTCGGGAGATTGTGTAGAGGTACGTAGTCTTCTCGCAGCCGTTGTTAGTGGCGGGCTCCGCGGGGGGACAGGGAGCCCGCCACCAAGAACGGCTGCGAGGAGACTAAGGCCTACGTAATGTGGAGGTGTCCTTAGTGCAGAGGT